CGAAGCCCTCAACGACAACGGCACCTTTCGCAACTCAGTCTTCTTCCGCACCATGGGAACGGACTTCATCCCGCTGTCCTTCGCGGCTGCCGCCCGCGCTGACCCCTCAGCACGTCTCTACTACAACGACTTCAACCTTGAGACCGCCCCGCGGAAAGCAGCCGCGGCCGTGCGCATCGTTCAGCTCGTGCAAGCCGCCAACATCCCCATCCACGGCCTCGGTTTCCAAGCGCACTTCCGCGTCGGCCTAACACCCAACGTCTCCTCGCTCATCGCCACGCAAAACCTCTTCACCAACCTCGGTCTCGAAGTCGCCTTCAGCGAGCTCGACGTAGCTCACCTCTCCTTACCCCCCAACGCCTCCTCGGTAGCGGGCCAATCAAGAGACTACCTCTCCGTCGTGCAAGCCTGTCTTGCCGTGCCAAAATGCGTAGGCATCACGCTCTGGCAGTTCACAGACAAGTACAGCTGGATCCCCAGTACCTTCCCCGGACTGGGCGATGCTTGCCTGTACTCGGCGAACTTTACCAAGAAGCCTGCCTATGAGGCCGTGAGGAACTACATGATATCTGTTGTTTCGAATATGACGAGCGGGGCGGGGAGAAATCTGAGCACGACGGTGGCACCGCCTACTATGCCGACTCCGACTGGGATGATGACTTTGCCGGCAGACATCGCGGGCGAACTGGCTCCGTTTGTGACGAGTCCGCCTGTGAGGACTAGCATGGGGGCAATGGTGAGTGTGGGGACGGGATTGTGGCTTGGTGTTGCCGTGGTTCTGGGGACTCTCCTATAGTGAGACGGTGGTGTTGCATTGGTACTTTGACATAATTTGGATTAGCCGTTGGCGTGAGGCTCACGATTAGCGAGGGGGGGGGGGCTTGGGTTGACCTTTCAGCGTTGGGAATAGCGTGCATGGTGTCGAGGCGTGTCGACGGTTGCGTTGTCTGTTGTTCAAACTCGTATGCACTGCGTTATGAATGGGCTTTACAAGCTTGGAGACTCTGGAAGTCAGACTGTGTTGAGAACGGTGTTGTTTAATTTAGAGATAGGTAGGTTACTAATGGTTTGGAAATATATATGTATGTGTGGCTATGTACGTAGATGCAAACAGCTTTGAAACAACATTGAAATAAAGAAAATGAAAACAATGCATGAGATTGCTGATTGAGTTCCCGCCAGCCCTGAAGCTCCCCGCTCCATCATCTAATGCCGCGCCTATATACATTATCTCATCGCTCGAGGGAGAATGCAATTATTCGGCAGGAACAACACCCTGAGGGTAGTGGAACAGATCCAATGGGTCAACTTCCTTCTTGATCGCCTGCAGCTTGGCGAGATTAGGGCCCCAGTAGTTCTTCTGGGCAGTCTGCTGGTCTATGCTCGGGTCGGGGTAGTTGATGTACCTTCCCCACGCGTCGCTAGGCAGGCTGTAGGTGATGTTGCTGACGAAGTTCTGGATGTGTCCGAACCCGCTGGTCGGGAAGACACCCTTGTCAACCCGGTCGTAGAACAGGTACATGAAGAGGTAGTCGCGGTGGGCGTACGACGCAGGGCTGCCCTCGGCGACGGCCGAGTGCTTGCCACCGTGGATGTCGATATGGACGTACCAGTCACGCTTGTTCGTCTTGGCGTGATCGAACCAGTAGCTGACGAAGCCGTTGAGCTGCGTGTCATTCAAAGCGTTTGTGTACAAGCTCGCCGAGTTGAATGTCTCATGCTGCTAAAGGTTAGCGCCAAGACCCATGTATGGGGTTCGCAAAGACTGTCAACTCACATAATCATAGGGGTGACCCTGATCAAGAGGAAGACCACCGCCAAAGTGCTTGATCTGCTCGAGCCATCCTCCCTGTTGCTGCAACTGGAAGGTAGCGTTGGTCTTTGCAATCAAAGGGGCCAAAGCAGCTTGCATGCTGGCCTTGTCGCCGTAGTACAAACCCTCGAGGTTGATAAAGCGCGGGGTCATGAAAAGTCGCATGTTGAGCTCTGCCGGCATGTCCAAAGCAAACTCTTGAACCGCCTTCATGCCTGCCAGAGCCCTCTCCGCCGTTCCCCACCGCAGCGCCGCAACGAAGACTGTGAGAGCCTCTGGCGGCTCGAATGTCTTGAACCGGAATTCGGTCACCACACCCATGGATGATCCCGCGCCTCGGATGGCCCAGAACAAGTCTGGACTCTCCGTTTCGGAGCATTCCACAACTGTCGAGTTGGCGAGGACGACGGTTGCACCAACCAGCCAGTCGAGAGCCAAGCCCTTGGTGTGCGAGCTGACACCATAGCCACCGTGCAGGACATGTCCACCAACACCGACGCTGATTCTGTTAGAACAGAGCTGGCTTTCTCAGAGGGAGTTGCTTACCCAGGGCAGGTGCCATGGCTGATGGCCCTCTTCCCCTGTTTCCAGAGCTCCGAAGCAACATGACCCAATCGTGCGCCACCTTGAACCTTTGCAATGCCGGTAGTAGCGTCAAGCACAACCTCGTTCATCCGATCAAGCTCAATGGTGAGGTGACCGTCTTCTCCGCCGAGACCAAACGATCCATAGCTGTGTCCGCCGCACTTGGCGTTTGCTCTTATGCCCAGTTTGGCGGCGCATGCAACCGCGTTTTGTACATGCTCCCTTGACTTTGGCACAGAGATGGCCACAGGTGTATAGTTGAGTCTCAGGTTGTATGGTGAGGCGTCAAGCTTCCAGTCAGTGGTCCCCGGTGCGCTAAGCGGCACATTGGAGGCAGAGAGACAGGCGCTAAGCGCGGCCTGCTTTTCGAATGGAGAGGCCGCCGCAAGGCCCAACAGGGCGAAGAGGGTGGCGAAAGACGACATTGCAAGGCACAGGATGCGTCGTGATAGACCCAGTGGCTGGGAGACGTCGTATGACCCAAGGGCGTGGTTAAGACGCGCCGGGATATCCGCGGTTCGCTTCTCCGTCTGGGGTTAGATCGTGGGGTGCAGTGAGTCTGGGGATACAGGGCGAAATATATCCCGTGTGGGATGGACTCGGGCGCGGGCAGGTCCTCCTTGCCCTCGACAAGCACGCGGTAGAGACAGTAATGGGGGTGGCGCCACATTCCATGCTGGATCGTGCGGCGGTCTCCCCATACTTAAACAGCCCGCCTGTTTTACTTCGGCGGAATCTCTTCTGGACAAAGTATCGGGTCACTAGACGCTTCTGCCGAGACGAGTAAATTAGCTGGTGCCAGGTCCGCAGGAGGCCGAAAGGAGGCCACGGCTCAGCCCGGGAATGGTCTGCCTACCAGCCGGGGAGGCTCAAGCCAGGGTCGTACTCGTAGCCATCAGATGGGATCTAGGTTGGGTGAGTGTGTTTAGCGGATCTGTTAAGGCTGGTTCCTTGCCAAGGGCGCACAAAGATGGCGGCTGCTCATACATGATGCCAGCGACACGCACACGGCTTCTCGGGATGGACAATATGTCAGACTCTATCAAGCCGCGGTTGGGCTCCCATCCTGGTGCGTCCGGGAGCGCGAGCATGAATCCAAGCCGGCGGTCCGGGTTGGGGAAACGAACGCCACTCGGAGTCAAGTCACTTGCGGCTGACCACCAAAGAGTGCGGTGCTCGTCTAGCGATTCTATTTCGATTTAGGGGAGCGAAATGTCTTGGCGATCGACGGAAGCCTCGAAGGGGAAAAATGTTCGCCCTCGGGACGTGGCGCGCATGCGTCTACGGGTGGCTTGTACGAGAGATTGCGCGCGAAATGGTTTCCATCACTATAGCCGCGGGAGTTATAGGGAGCTGGTCTGACTGCGCGATAATTAGCATCAGTTGCGAGAGAAAAAAAATAGATTGCGCGGGTCAAATTAACCGGGCATTGCATGAGATCGACTGCGGCGACAGACTGGTGAAAGTAGAAAAGGGGGCATCAGGCGTGCGCGGTCCGTATATGCTATCGCATCAGCATGAAAGAGAGAGATGGCGGCGTTGGTAGTTTTATAGCAGGCATTGGCGACGTGCGCCAGTGTCGAGATGTTGACGTTGCGATGTCGCCAAGTTTTGAAAGAAGGGTGCTGGTGGCTTCCCGGCTACTTGGTAAGGAGCCTCACATCACACTTTGTCGGCCAATGAAGGGGCAGCGTCGGAGTTACAGGCGACTCGAAACTTCCATCGAGATCGCACCTTCCTCCCAGCGACGTGATCCACTTCCAGCGGGCGAGTCGTTTAACCAGGCGGGATGTCGGACGATCATGCGCTGAGTGACATTTAGCCAATGGCGCCAGAACATGTTTGCCTGTTTTCCGTGCCCGTTGGCCAAGTCAACACCGCCCATCCTACCGGATCTAGCTTCCGCATCTTACGGTTGGCATTTCTCCATTTGGCTTGCGGAGCTGTTATTTCGCAGGCCCAGGCCCTCGACTTTTGTTCATCGTCTCGCCCGTGGGGAAGAATTTGCCCAGTGGTATTCTGCCGCGCGACCCAAGTTCCGGTGTTGGGCTGAGCACCATCTAACCAAAACCCAGTCATCACCACCCTCTGTGAGTACATCCCTATTGGGCGAGACTTGGTCGCATATCTCGTGTTTCTGGGTCAGTTACCCGTAGGTTATTTATCTGTCTCGGCACTCTGGCTTGGCACGAACTTTTGATTCTAACGCAGCGTACTGGTGCAGACCAAAATATCGGTTTCCGTTCGCCTGACGCTGTGGGTCCGTAACTGTCCTGTCTCTTGTTCGGTGTTGGCCCCCGGTTTCCTCAGTCCGTCGGCGTCCCCCATGTTGCAGCCCGGGGTCTCGGCGCTTCAAATCATCAACCATCCCAGAATTCGTGGCTGTTGCGCAGGGAGAATGGTTGGTGACGAGTATTCCAGACTGCTTGCAGTGGCCAGAGTCGCACTTCGAGGGCGACTCATGTCACATAGCAGTCAACAAACCCTGTTGCAGACCGAGAGCGTCGGAGCCTTCTTTCTCTACGCAGAAATTCACATTATGGTGTTCCTGACAGCATCACCTCAGAGTCTTCGCGCTTGTGACATGAGGCAAAAAGGGGTTTGGGCGGGCTGGGGTTCGAACCCAGGCCTCTCGCTAAACGCTTAGAAATCAACGCTGATATTAACGCTTAGTGAACACGCTGGCCACTACGCTACCCTCCCTGTGGCTTTTGTTAATAATCTGAAACTAATTTTCTGGTTAAGTAATTGGTTTCCGTTTGCTCCGTTTCGTCGGTTATGGGATGGTTTGATGACGAGGTAGCGGAGGTTGGGCTGGGTCGTGGCGTTCCACACATGAAAGTAGGTTTCTGACGGGTATGAGAGTGTACAGAAGACAACAGTCGCATCGAGACTACATCTGGTTTAAATGCAAACGTCTCGCCCCAAAGGTCTCGTTCAACGAGAGAAGCATTGGCAATGCGACATAAAACACTTCCACTTCTCCTGTCACGGGGCAAAGGCAAACTCCTGGCGTTCTTGAGCCATCAAATACACGCTCTTTATCACACCTATCCGCACCTGCAATCACCAAATTCGCAGCGCTTGATAATGCCGACTCTGCATTCACATTCAGCTTTCTCACATTGGCATGTCTTTTGCGGCGTTACTTGGTGGTCACGAGTTCGTGACAGGACACAACGGTGCTGTTTGCGGCCGTCGTTACAAGTGCGGTCAGTTCAAAGAGTGCTCGGCAGGCTTTAGAATCCTCATGCGACTCGAAAACCTCTGTCGGATATGGAAGTGCTCAGGTTGGTGTGTTGAACCGATCTCAAAGAGCCTTAAACAACTAGGGGGGTCCTTCCGGCCTCTTATGGCGGAAGCTTTCAAGCTATCAAAGGCTTGGCGGAGAGACGTATGCAACTTCAAGAGGCAGACTAGATGTCCCTATACCTGAGGAGAATCGGAGCTAATCATTGAACAGAAAACCCATGGCCGGTCAGGGGTCGGTACACCCGGAGAGAAGGTATTAATATTCCAAACAAGCTTCCCGGATATGACTGACTTAACTGCTGGCTTGATGCTGAATTATCCATCCGTGCGGACTCATCCAAGTAGCACGAGGTATATTCACGCTGCCTCACAACTCTTGTACGGAGTCCCGCAAAAGATGTCAACAAAGCACCTCCGAGCATGAGTGAGGCAGCCTTGCCTGCTCTCCCAATAAAGTGTCTGAAAGTTCGCAAAAAGATGGAAAGGGGTTGATGGCTTCACCCTTGTTTACAGTGGCTAAACGGCTTCAAGAGGGCTACTTGTCTCTCCGATTCAGCCTGAGGACATTCCACAGAATGAAAGTTCATGGCGGATGTTTCTCAAAGCTGGGCATACATCCGTCATTCCCCCACAAACCATGCCAGGTTTTAGCTACCAATTTCTCATTAGCAGATCCAACTCTGGATCTCAACACCACCTACATACAGTTACAGTACGGAAAAAGCCAAGTCCCCCTTTGTTTCGTACGGGATATTCAACACAGAAAAGCAATCAGACACCATAGTACCCACCGTTTGCCCAACAGGCTGTTGCAGACCTATAGTCGGAGTACGTTTGGTACTGCGTGGATCTGATAATCAAGGTTAGCTGGGTCAAGAGTCGTGTTCATGAGGAGACCTTACCCAACCCAGATGGTGTTCTGCTCCCTGACGGTAACATACTCGACGTCATAGAATGTCTGTGGCGCCTGGGCAGCAAACACGGTGATGGTTTGGACGTTCGGTTCTTGGCATACGGTTTGGGCAGGGGGAACGCTGACTTTGGTTAGCTGGATGATGTTTGATGGGGCGAAGTTTCAGCGGAAAGGCTCACAAGGTCGTCGTAATGGTGGCATACGCTGTCTCGAGAACCGTTCGGCCGGGAACAATGGCGGTGGAGGTCCGGGTGACTGTATATGTGGTCTGGAGGATAGTGCTGGTGATGGCGGCGGCAGCCCGCTTCTGGACATCGGCATCGGCTGAGATGCGTTAGTTGGAACAAAGCAGATGTGAGTCGGGTTTCTTACAATCAGAGTTTGGTCGACGACCACCTCCTCCGCCACCTCCACCTGGAAATTGTTAGCTAACTCATCGTCAGACTCTGTCGAAGAGCTTACCTCTGTTTCCACCACCACCTCCTCCTCCTCCTCCTCCTCCGCCTCCTCGGTTGCCTCCGCCTCCGCCTCCGCCTCCTCCACCTGACAGAGTTAGCTAGGGGTTCGTCTTCTCAGCAGATGGGGCAGACTTACCCCTATTTCCACCGCCTCCAGCCCCACCTCCCCCACCGCCGCCCCTATTACCGCCACCTCCCGCGTTCCCACCGCCTCCTGCGCTTAGTGTTAGCAACAGAGATGACATAATCAGAAGAGCAGAAAGCGTAGAGACGTCTTACCCCCACGGTTACCACCTCCTCCACCCTGGTTTCCTCCTCCGCGGTTCCCACCACCGCCACCACCTCCACCTCCACCACGATTACCGCCTCCTCCTTGGTTTCCTCCACCACCTCCCCCTCCACGGTTTCCACCACCGCCTTGGTTGCCCCCACCACCGCCCGGTCTGCCACCACCACCACCTCCTCCTCCTCCTCCTCCTCCACCCCCGCCGCCACCTGGGCGACCGCCACCTCCGCCCCCTCCCTGGTTGCCCCCACCACCACCATTTCCACCACCTGGCCGTCCACCTCCGCCGCCACCTCCAGAACCGCCCCCTCCTCCTCCCGGGCGGCCACCGCCCCCTCCTTGGTTCCCACCTCCGCCTCCGCCCCCGCCAGGACGTCCACCACCACCTCCTCCTCCGGGATTACCTCCCCCGCCTCCACCACCGTTACCTCCTCCTGGCCTACCACCTCCACCACCACCGCCCCCAGGATTACCTCCTCCTCCCCCTCCTCCTCCTCCTCCTGGACGGCCACCACCTCCACCCCCTCCTGGATTTCCACCCCCACCCCCCCCTCCGCCAGGGCGGCCGCCACCTCCTCCGCCCCCGGGATTGTCACCACCTCCACCGCCACCGGGGTTACCGCCGCCGCCATTTCCACCACCGGGACGACCGCCGCCTCCGCCTCCAGGGGAACCACCACCACCTCCTCCTCCACCGCCGGGATTTCCACCACCAGGACGGCCGCCTCCACCTCCGCCTCCCCCTCCTCCGGGATTACCTCCGCCGCCACCACCAGGCCAGCCTCCGCCTCCGCTTCCCCCTCCTCCAGGGCTACCACCGCCGCCTCCACCCCCTGGATTACCACCTCCTCCACCACCTCCGGGATTACCCCCACCACTACCGCCTCCGGGACTACCCCCACTACCACCACCACCACCAGGTCTCCCTCCCCCACCACCTCCAGAACTCCCCCCTCCGCCCCCCCTGCCCGGACTCGCCCACCCCCACCCATTCCCCCCCCTATTCGCCGGATTATACCACGGCCTACACCCATCACACCCATTCGGCCTCGGCTGCTGCGGCTGCGGCGCCGGCCTATCCACCTGCTGCTGCGGCGCCGACTTCCCCTGCGGCCAATGACAATACGCACTCAGCCCCTGCGTCGTGACATAAACACTCGTCACCGCCCCTGCCGTGCGCGTCTTGGTCAACTGCGTATACAGCGTCGTATCTTCAGGCGCAAGCCACTCCGTCTCTGTCAACGGCCAGCCATCTCCGCACACCGCTGTCGTCAACGGCCTTCTCGCCTGCACCGTGCTCGTGCGGTACAGCGTCGTCTCGACCACCACCGCTGGCAATGTACTCGTCACCCCCACCACCACCGTCGGCGTAACCGTAACCGTTTCCTTCTCCAGGTTCTGCACCGTCAGCTGGAACTCACGGAGGACTTGGAAATCGGTATTGTCCGCTTGGATCACAATGGTCCAGGTGCCGGTGTACATCTCGGCGTAGCCAATCTCGCACGAGGATTGCTGCTGCTCGCCTTCGGCGTCCATGTAGATGGCTGAGCAGAGGTAACCTGTGCCGGTGGGGTCAAGAAGGATGGGCTCGACGATGTCGGAGATTACGCAGGATTGAAAGACGGAGGTGAAGGTGAAGGGGGCGTCCGAGGTGCCGTCGACGAGGTAGGAGCCGCCGTTGGTGTAGTCTAGGCCGGTGCAGGTGCACGCGGCGGAGAGGACGGGGGTGGTCCATAGTTGGATGAGGCTGGTGGTGTTAGTTTGGTGGACCAAAAGGGGGCAGTGAGGGTGCGAGTTGAGGTCAATGATGAGACTCCATCACTGCATGCAAAAAAAAAAGGGGCACTCACAGTCCCAGTGCCAAGCACTGCCTCCACGGAGAGCGCCGCGCCATGGTCAACAATCCGCACGTCCAACAAAAACCTGACCTGGTTTTGCAAGAGGATAGCGCTTGCATAAGAACGGCCGGGACGGGATCTCCTCAACTTCTTGTATTATACCACGACCGGACCGCTCAACTCTGACAGCCATTACGAGCAGAGACACCCAATATCTGCAATATACACTACCGCCCCGCGCCGATAAATTCGCCTTCCGCCGACCTGGTGACGGTCTCAGCGCCGTATATTGCTCGCGATGGGGGGTGTGCCACGGATTAGCCTATTGTTTGGACAGAGAGTGAGTCGGACATCGGTCCTCGCACATCCCATCCTCACCTCCCCACGCGGTACGCAGCAATGACCAAAGTCGGGATCGGCACAGTCCCCATCTTCGCTGGGGGAGTTGGGAAACCCCAAAATCATCATCTCCTTCCGTGCTTTGCACAACGTCCAATCATGGCAGAGAGGAGGAGAGCCGGGGATATAACCGGATATCCGGTAACGACAAGACACCCCTCCACACCGCGCACGTCGGGATTAGCATTGCGCTTGGTATCTGGTTGGAGGGGAGGTTAATCTCCTATTGGGTGTTTATTCCCCGGGGAGAGAGTGCAGAGTGGTTACATGCCTTGTCCCGAGGGGGAGCTTTTTTCGGGAGTTGGGTGGCATGGGATGGCGTGGTGCCTTTGGGTTGTCGGACGGTTTGGGTTGGTAAGGAGAAGGAAGAATTCATCTTCAGGTAGCCTTTGGAGTCTGTGAGAAACAATTACACCCATATACCCGGACCTCCTCCTCATTCGCTGCGCCTGCTGTCGTCGAGGGGATCCCCGGCTTTGGGCACACGCCGGACACACCGAAAGACGTATTTCCTGGGCACTTATAAGAGCTTGTCTGGCAGGCAGCGGTTAATTATG